GGTCGTCAAACTGCGCCTCGCGAGCCACATGCAGCTCTTTGGCCCCTTGGGTGTGGCTCTTCCTAAGCCTTAGGAGTACCCTAATTAAGTTAATAACAATGTACCTACCTTTATAGTTTAAGTTTAAAAAATGTGGCTCTCAAAAGAAATTTCAATCATTGTACTGTTGATACTAGGCTCTGTTGACTAATGAGTTTGCCGACCACTGCCTTAGACAGCAAGGGGCTGGAGCCAGGCTGGGGAACACCCAGGGCTGCAGAGAGCTGGGGCTCCTGCCATTTGGACCAGGAAGAGGACCATCAACATCAGCCTCCCTCACAGCAGGTCAAGAAAGGGTATAGGGCTAGAGAGGAGGTCGGTATCAGGTAGGAAACGGAGGCCAAATCCCTTCTGAGGACAGGCTCAGGGTTGGAAATTTCTCCCAGGAACTGGGGTCCTTTGTGACCAGCCTCAGGAGGGCCTGGGAGAGGGTCCCTCCAGCCTCCCTCCCAAGCGGGAATGAGGGGCCCAGAGCCCGTGTGCAGGATGCAAAGCAACCTGAGCCCCTTCCCTTCAGAGCCTTGGGTGGGCACTCACTTCCCCCGAAACAGTGGGGAGGGGAGGGCTGGATGAGAGAGGGCTCTCCCCACACTGGAGGCTCATAGAGGAGGCCGCCCAGACAGAGGTTCTGCTCGGGCCCTGTGGGAGCTGAGGAGGGACAGGGCCTGGAGCAGAAATGCTTGGCTACCTCGCAGCCGAACCCCCCTGTCCCAGCCCTTGGAAGCCAGAGCGGGGAGAGCCACTGATCACCACTGGGAAGAGGGCTGGACACAAGCATACTGGAGTTAAAAAATATTACAACTGCTGGAGCGGGTGAGGCGGGTGAAACCAGAGGTGGGAGAGGGCCTTCCCGTAACAAAACATTCTTCTCCAGCCACCGCAAGGCCTGGGGCAAGCCTGAAATCCCACACCTTAGCGCACTCACTCCTCACTCCCCAGCGAGGCGCCAAGTGCAGGAGTGCTTATTAGCACAGAACCACAAGCACCCGTGCCCACACTTCCTCATCTTACCCAGGAGGACGTGAAAGCCCAGGGGTCAGGGTCCCGGTCCCGGGGAGGGAAGGGAAAGCTCTGGGGTCTATTCTGCCCTCACCAATTAACAGATCAGAGAAGCTGGGTCCTGAGGGGCTGCGATGAGAGATGGAGACAGCTCACAGTGGTGAGGACAGGGCACTTGGAGAGAAACGGGGATGCCTAGGGGATGGGCGTGGCTGGGCCAGACCTCCAGGCTGGGGCTCATACAGAGGGCAGGTGGGGCAGGGTGAGGAGGCGAGATTAAGAGGACAAAGCAAGGGTGCTGTGGGCAAAAGTCTTTGAGGAATGAAAACATTTAGGGGAAACCAACACCCTCTCTGTGGCTGCCACCACCCCCACCCCCATGCTCTACCCCCTGAGCCCCGGGAGGACCCACATGTCTGGCTGCGATCCTGGAGGAGCCCACGAGGTTGCCATCACCGTCCAGGACATCGATCCCTTCTTCCAGCTCCCCATACCTCATCAGGACCACGTTGCAGATATTGGCGCTGGCTGGAGAGAGAAGGGAGCAGGAGTGAGGGGGAGGATGGCATTCCACTTGGTAGGACCCCTGGGCTCCACCTTCGCCCCAGACTCCCCAGCCCAAGCAAAGAAGTTCTGAATAGATGCCAAGCTTGTGTTCAAGTGCAATGGGGGAAGGTGTGGTCCTGGTGCCTATCAGCTTGGTGAGGGGTTTGGGGGACCTTGGGAACCTGGTGAGCAAGGCTGGAAAACAACCAGTGTTAGGGAGGAAGGGATACCGCTCAGGGCTTAGAAATGGCCAGTTATCAAGGAGACTGCCCCCTGCAGGCAGGCCAAAGGGGTGCTCTGGGGCCTGAAGACACATCCCCAACGGGTGCCTGATGCTCCCCCATCAGCAACTCTCCCCCATCAGCAACTCCGCACCCCACATCCAGCCCCTTGATCCTCAGAGTGAATCAAGTTCCCAGAGATTTGCTTCTCTGACAGCAGGTGCCAGAGCGGCAGGAACCTCAGTGCTCACCCAGCACCGCCCCCTCATCATATGGATGGAAGATTGAGGCTCACGGTGTATGTGTGTGTGTGTGTGGGGGGGGGCAGGGGATTTATCTGAGGTCACATAGCAAAGTGGGGCAGAGCTGAAAGGTCACAGAGCCTGGCCCTCGGGACACCCAGGAGGGGGGGAGAGGGCGGGGTCAGGCAGCGCTGCGGGAAT